ATTGAACTTGCGGCGAAATGTGACGCAGCTAATTATCGCATGAACTGCATTGCGAAATATGAATCGATAAAGGTCAATGTATCTAGCTACCCACGTACATACATATGTATGTAATCACGACAATTATGTATGTGCTTATAATATAGATACGTAAGTGCATTTGTGTGTACATACAGTATTGGCCAATACAATAGCACACCCATTTGAAAGTGATGTTGTTTGCCACTATGTTTATTTATTTATTTTTAGGAATTTTCAACTTTGTATAAAACTACAAAAAAAAACAACAACAAATTTTCACTTAAATTTCAATTTTTTTTTCAGAAGTGTTAAAAATTTTTTGTGTACACAGTTTTATAGCCCATTCAATTTTATTCCAACAAAGTGCAATTTTTAACTGGCTAAAAATTACCGTTGATTTTTTAGAATTTTTTTCGCCGAAGGTGTTGCGGGTTTATTCCATATAAAATTTAATTGTGTTTATTCGTTATAAGGAAGTAAATGCGACAAAAAAAAAATCGAAGAAATCAACGGTAATCTTTAGGCACTTAAAACTTGCACATTATCAGACGAAGATTGAAAGGGCTATAAAACTGCGTACTCAAAAAAATTCTAACACTTCTGAGAAAAAAGTTTTAAATTCAGGTGAAAATTTGTTGCATTTTTTTGTAGTCTTTAACAAAGTTTAAAACTTGGCTTTATATGGGTTTTGTTAGAGAATTAACTGTATTTTAATTGAAAATTCTTAAAAATTAATAATTAAACATAGGATCAAACAATATCACTTTGAAATGGGGGTGCTTTAGATATGGCCTATACTGTATATATAAGTATGTACAGATATGTATATATTTCTGGGTTAAGACACGCGTGAATGGCCCTATGAATAATAATAATTTTCATAAAATCGGTACTGTCCCGCCAAAATGGGAACGAATGGTCACCGTACCTATGTGCCCCTGGGGGCCTATTTCATAAACGTGACAGGTGCGACAATTGTCGATTTTTCTATAAAATTTCAGAGCCAGAATTGTTGGCGACATTTTCCCCGTTTAATATACGCTTGTAGGTAATTGTGAATTTTTTTTATAAAGCGACAGTGACAATACTGGAATATTGTCGCCAATGGTGCTGACAATTGTCACTCTGACAAAATTGTCACCACAATAGCGACAAAACTAAATAGCTCCGTCGGAATTTTTTCACGGGAGAATTTCGTAAATTTGTTTATATGGTAAATGCGCACATTTCAGTAGTTTTCAGTAATAATAATGAAAATGCAAGTATTACATATGAATTACACAAAAATTTCTTATGACTGGCGACAATTTTATCGACGACAATTTTAAAACCCGACAATGATAATTTGTCACTTTTTCAATGGAATTTCTCATGGAATTGAAGCGGTGGTGGCAATTGTTTTTATGAAACAAAACAACCACCAATCTGTCGAATTGTTACTGACAATACGAAAAATGCCTGTTGTTACAAAATTAACACTGTCCACTTTATGAAAGAGGCCCCTGGTAGCAACCACGTATTTCATTTTTCTTTGATTTTTCAATTCCCCTTACAATATTTAGATATTTATATTTTTAAGAACCACCCTAATGTGTATAATGAATATCCTACAAAGTTGTTTAATCTGCTCGCCAGGTGGCGCTGGAGTCGAACACCGGCCAAGGATCCCAGAGTTTTGTTCATCCATGAGGCAACACGGAGTCTCGCTCAAAACCCTATTGGGAGGAAATAATTACGTTTACTCCGACAGGCAGCCCTTATAGGTTTACATTTAAGGCCGGTCCACATAGAACTTTGGCGTTGGCTTTGGCGTTGGCGTTGATTAACAGCTGACTATGAATACACACAATTATATGGACATGTCCACATATCAACGGCAACGCCAACGCCAAAGCTAACGCCCACAAAAAGATGGGCATCTCTCATCTTTTTGCGCGCGTTGTCAATCAGCTGTTGCAAATAAATAAAATTATGTGAAATATTTTTAATTTTTAATCAAATGTAGGTAAGAAATATCAAGTTTCATGCAATTATTGATATGAAATATTAATTTATCTGTCGTTAGTATTTAAATCTAGTGCTCAAAGCATTCGCTGCCAAGCGTTGATTGTAGCAAGCATACTTTTAACGTGCGTTCTGTCAAACTAACGCCAAAGCCAAAGCCAACGCGAAAGTTCTATGTGGACCGGCCTTTACACTTAAATAATGCAAGTTCCGAGTACGGAAAAATACTTCAAGAAAAGTATGTGTTATGAATAGGAAGTTAAGTCTGTCTATCTTAAAGGTGGGCCAAAAATATTTTTACTCAGTGCCGGATCATATTTATATGTACTTACATATTTTTAATGGATGGAATGCTTAAAAAAGCACGGTTGGCTGTGAAGTATGCAACTCTGGTCTAGACAAGGTACTTTTTGTGATTATCGCAATCATATTTGCTTAACTTATATATCCCTTTGCGCAATTTGCATCCATCTGAGAAATGTATATAGATCAAAGCTGAGTACATCGGAAATAAAAAAATAAAACTACTAGTATAAATTTTTAGTTGTTACTGCTTCGGGTAGAGTCATCCATTTTCAAACTTGGTATGGAAGCCAGTTTCGGCGATATAAATTTTCAATGTAGTTCTTAGTAATTCGTTGACTGAAGCAAATTGGAATATCACCTTTAGGAGAGAAAAGATTGTAGCTTATCGAGATTTAAAGCGTTTCTATTTTATATATGTATGCACAAATACATTTTTTTTTATTAATGCAAAACTGGTGATAATAATTTACCATCTATATGGCTAAAAGGCATACTCAAATCAAGTTTATATTTCCCTATTAAAACATATAATCTACATAGACATACATATATATGTGCATACATATGTAGTATGTGCATATGTAAGTATCACATAAGTTTATTGAAGCAAATAATGCAATTTTATGTTGAAGCACCACCTTGGTACCTACACATCACGAGTACTAAGTACATATTATCTAAGTATGCATGCAATCAAAAAATACAAAATTACATGCTATGTACATACATACATATGTTTTAAAGCCAACAAAAATAAATCTAAATATTTTTTTTTTGAATTTCCTTTAATTAAGCGTCATGCTATACCCAATCGTTGAGTAACCAATATTGATCGCAGTGAGTTAATGCTAAGGCATGTCTGCTACTTGTGCATACACATATGTACATTAGACTGCATCACCAAATAAAAGTTGCGGTTTCTCCGCCGGGATTACAAAATTTATTATATTTTGAGACGTCCATCAAAATATTTCGGAAAACTATTAAGATTTAAGCGAGCTGGACCGATTTGAAAATATCTCCAAAAATGGAGTTTTTTATGAATAAAAAAAGTTTCTTAAAGAACTTTTTGAAAAAAGGTCTACTCAGATGATAAAACAAAGTAGGTTTAAAGAATCTGTATAAAAATGTTTAAAAATATTTTCAACGGAATCGTAATAATGAGATTTTTGATGCTGTTTTTTTACTTTTTCCAAAGATTGATTTACGAAAAACTTAAATAAATGGGCCAAAACTATTCTGATTTAGACCTATGGGATCTCCGTAGCAAGGTATTTTCCCACTATTTTTATTTATGTGAAAAAAAAGTCATTCTTGTCCCAATTTTTATTTTTTATTTTTTTCAAATTCCAACACATCTTAATTCTACTTTCAATGATGTTCGTTCATTCTACCTTTCTCTTTCATCCTTTGAATGAGCTTATTAGCAAGAAATAAAACGGGTAAGAAAATACCTTTCCAATGATACCTCACAAGTCTAAATCGGAAGAGTTTATTTCTTTATTTCTTTATTTCAATTAAAAAAAATCTCATTATTACGATTCCGTTCAACATTTTTTTTTTTTACTTTTTTACAATATTTTTATAATTTTTTTTAAGCTTAAACTGTTTTGTTATTTGAAGGGATTTTTTTCAAAAAACATCTCTAAGAAACTATTTTTATTCATAAAAAAAACTCAATTTTCGGAGGTATTTTCAAATCGGTCCTAATCAAATCGCTTAAATCGTAATATTTTTTCCGAAATATTTTGGTCCTAAAATATACTAAATTTTATAATGCCAATGGAAAAACAGTACCGATTCTTTTTTTGTATTGGGAGTGATGCAGTCTAATGTACATATATGCAAGTTAATTGAGGTGTATATCTGTGACTATATAGTACAGCCATTTGTTTGGATAGTTATGCCGTTTGAGTGCTCCTCCTTAGCACAAATGAGTTTGCGTGCCCTTCCCACAACTCCATAAATTTAACGAAGGCAGCAAAGTAAATTATATTTATGGTTGTATGTATTTGGGATTATTATTATTATTATTTTTTTTTTGTATGATTTTTAACCTTTTTATTTTCTTCTTTTTTTTATTGCTTACTTTGACTAAAATTTAAAATATTGTAGCTTGTAAGTTGTGGTAGAAAGTAAAAGTGCATAAAGCGTAACCAATAATCTTCCGTGAGCAATGAGCTTCAAGCGAGACAACAATGACAAGAGCAATTTTGAAAGAAATCCGTACGTATTCGTTGCAAAACGATTTTATAATAACTCAAAAGCCAAAAATTGCATACATAAGTTTGATTGTTACAGCAAAAAGTGAAAACTGTCCCAACTAAATTTGCAGCCAAACAACTGATGTTAGTTAATGAATATTTGAACTTCTTTTGAATTCATTTTCTATATTTTTATTCAATTGCAATGAATGTTGATAACATTTGTCATCTTCTTTTTCTACGCAAGAGCGGCTTGTTAAATAAGTTTGGCATCGCTTTTCCGCAGTAAAAATATACATAAATATCGATATATAAAGTGATACTTGTTGTGTGGCTTTTCTTCAGAATTGCTCACATCCCGTTTAATGATTTTTCTTTCGTTTTTTTTTTACTTTTTATCTTCATTTTATATTGTTTTCGTCAAATAATTACATCACAGCAGTTTTATGCAAGTATGTCGGCGACATCTTTATTTATAGAAAAACTGGAAGTATAGCTAATACATACATATGTATATTCAAGGAAAACAAACTCACGCAGGTGTACATACATATGTACATGTAATCCAAAAGAGGTAATTAGCGGTGAAGCATCATAATTATGTTTTTACTCAGCGGCAACCAAAAGTTGCAAAGTTCATTCATCCAGACATTAAGTTATTATTTTTTGTTGCTGCATTTGCGTTAGTTTATTTGTAGTATTGCCATTGTTCGGCCTACTGTACCGCCTCTATGTACAACGCACAGCAAAAAGTCAGAAACAGTTGCCTACTGTTTTGTAATTGTAAGAATTGGCATCATCACTAATTAGCAGCATCGGCAAATATACATAATTACGAAAATAGAAAGACTAGTGAATAGCGTTGCCAAATGTCCCGTATTTGCCGGGACGTCCCGTATTTTGTATGAAATTTGAAATGATAATTTCATCATTTTTTTGAACCTGTAAACTTCTACTCAGCGTGATCATGGTTTAACGCGGCTATTGAAATTGAATGGGCTTTAAACCGCATACTGTTAATATTTCTAGGAATTCTAATTAAAAATGTCGTAATTTTTATGAAAATTTTTTTAAATCTAATTAATTTTTGTGAACTTTTTGTAAACCTTAAAACTTTTATTTATGCGGTATCTGATATAAATAGATGGACCTATAATTAAAATGAAAATTATTAAAAATAAATAAATAAAGGCAAGTTGCCAACAGCAGCATTTTCAATTTTGCTGCTATTATTTTGACCGTAACTGTATCTCTTACTTTGTACTTCAGAAAGTAGTAGTTTGAAAATATTTTGAAGAGAGTTGCCACATGCTTGAAATGTCGAACTTAGTTTACTCATACCCAAGTTTTATGAAATATTGAAAATATGGATGTCAAACGAAGGAGGTCTATGAAATCTTTTGTTTAAACGCTAAGAATATTTGTTAGGTGTTGGAAGAGGATTGCCACCTGTTTAAAAAGTTAAATTCAAATTATTTAACAGTTAAATGAATTATTGAAATATGGGTATCAATCGAAGTTGGTTTGGAAAATTTTTATTTCTGAAAAATCAAATTCCCCTTAATTCATCAGTTAATTAAAATATGTATTGCAATGTCCGACGAAGTTCATCAGTTTATTGAAATGCATGTACATCACAATGTAAGACGAAAGAGATTTGAATAATAAGATTTTAGTTTAAGAATACTTTTGAAAAGGAATTTCAAAAATGAGAGGTCAAATGTGTGATAAAGTTCTATTCTTTTTTAATTAAGAACTTTTTCATCGGTATAGGGTGATTTGAAATTTGTTGAAATTAAATACGTGCACTATGTGAGACTTCACTCAGAAACGGCTGCACGGTTTTGGATAAAAAATATTTTTTAAGTTTTCGAAATTCAATTTTGGGGGTTTTAACGCCATGCGGGTTCGCTAGTAAAAATAAAGTATATGAAAGAAATAAATAAAAATATGTAAACGCAATATAAATTTGTTCCACAAATATTTGAAATCTTAATTCGCTCGATGGCAAACGCAAAAGTATTTACGAATTATGTAAGTACATGCAGCCATTTCTAGTTTTTCTATCGCTTCATACATTCAATGTAAAACACAAATCCACATACATACTTATGAGCATTATAGCTTGATTTTTATATATCGAGGGCTTATATTCAATACCCTCTATCTGCAATTTTCACAAAAACTACTTTGTAATGTTAGAACCCATCTGTGACTTACCTGTCATCATTGGTGTTAATTCTGACTTTGCAATTTAATAGTAAATTCTTCTGTTACATATCACCGATGACAGTTAAGTCTTAGGTGGATTTTAATATCAGAATCTCATATTGGTGAAAAGTGCAGATAGAGGGTATAGAATGTAAGCCCACGAAATATTACTTTTAACACTTTATTAATCCATTTGAAGATTTTAAAACATTATTTATTCATAAAAAATGTATTGCTGTACTTAAGAAATTTCATTTCTCTTTTAAAAAAATAACAAGAAGTATTTTAGAGTTACTGTGCATAAGCATATCAGCACAAATGCTGGCATAGTAATATTTAATTCAAGGTCGGCTCAGATAGCAGCAAATGTAAATGAGTAGCTTACTGGGGGAAAAAATACAATATGACACTTCTATAGGCAAAACGTATTCGCATGGGTATAATAAAAACTTAAACGCAACTTTTTATGAACACTGGTTATAGCCACTTACAAAATATATCGTTAAAGCAAATGTAGTAAGAAAAAAAGATGTAACACGATATTTTAAGGCACGTTGATCATTTGATTACTAGCCTTGAGTTCTTGGTCAAGTTTAGCTGACATGTCCGACGCAATTTGGCGTAAATTAAGTAAGTAAGTGTTTGACAATTCACGTATTGTTTTTATTGTTATATAAAAATTCGAAAATAAACTTTGATTTTTATTAGTAAGTAAATGCGTTGTGAAGCAGTTTTAGTTAATGTTCAAGGATATCTCTTTTAAAGGCAAATTGTAAACACTATTCATTACATTTGAACCTAATTATATACTAGATTTATAATTTACAAAGAATGTCACTTCAGTGTAGGTAGGCTTCTAAAAAGAAGGGGGAAAAGCCGGAAATATTATTAATATTATTTGTCGGAGAGTGGTATTTGAACAGCAATTTTAATTTTTCTATATACTTATACATACGTACATTAAGGTGCATCACTCTCACTACAAAAAAAAATCAGTATTGCTTTTACATCGGAATCATCTATTCTGTTTGTTTAGACTTCCGCCAAAATATTCCAGAAAATATAAATATTTACGTGGGTTGGTCCGATTTGAAAATACCTCCAAAAATTGAGCCTCTTTGTAAATAAAATTAGTATAAAAAATATCTTCTTTTTTTTAATTAAATTTAAAAAAAGAGTTTAAGCTTCGAAGGTGTCAAAATTTTATCGGCTATATTCCAAGCTCAAGCAAATCTAAGTTAATTTAAGTTAATTTAAATAACTTTAAATAATCTTTTTTTTTTATTCCGGTGAAAAACCCGCAGCTTTTTTGTTCAGGCATCCTAATGTTTGCATATTACACTTAAAAAAATGATCGCGTCCTGCTTGATGGCCACCACCAGAGAGAGAGAGAGAGAGAGAGGTTACCATAGCCGACAATTTATTAAATTTCCTCTTTAATCTAGAATCTCGTTGCATTTTGGCTCTTTGTATCATCATAATGTCTTCACCTTTTAGAGTCTACACGAAATTTGCGACTACTTAACTTTTGATGAATTTTTTGGTATTTTTTAATTTTATTTCATTGTTCTCGTAGTCTCAACTTGCTTGATTTCGAAGCTATTCTAACTCTAAAACATAGCTTTTAGCTTTTTTTTTAGGTACTTTAATTAACAAAACACTGCTTATATATGTATGGCGAAGCTATATTTTGGCGCGGAGATGCTTTTATCTGCCAGACTTCCGGAGGAATCATATCTACCATTCGTGTCTGCAAAATTTTTACCGCTTATTTTCTTAATTGCGCTCAAATCTTTTTCACTAAGTAACATGCAGTGAAATTTGCGTATAGGTATTTAGATACTTGCTTTTATGACAGGTAAGTGTATTTAATAGTTATAAAATAACATTCAAAAACTAATTTCCCAAGCAAACACACCCATAAGCCATAGACTGCTGCCGTGTGACAATAAAATCTAACTTTTTTTTTTGCGCGCTATAAATGCGCCACTTCCGCACTAAATTTTTCATTAAATTGACTCTATTAAACAATGGTTACTAAATGCATTACGGCACACCGGCATAGTAAAGTAGAGAGCGCCGGAAAATCGTTGAACGATTTGCGCCAGCATCACAAGATTCTAAAACAGTCGCTGTCGTTAAGTACCCCAAAAAAAAACAAAACGATAGATCTGTTGGCTGCGCAATTTGCGGCATGCTAACATTTAGGTTAAAAAATCTACAATGGGCAATGGAATTCGCCAGCTTAGGGCTCTCTAGGCGACATACCCACAAACTAAAAAATAAAATTGTTTGCATTTTTGAAAATTCATACATATGTATGTATGTATAATGCTATTGAATTCACCTATGCATGTATGTAAAGTTTACATTGTAAACACATTCATATGTGTATTTTATGTTTGCACATACATAAATGTTGCACATTCAGTTCGATGAATTATTTTCGCTGCTATGCAAAGTGTGCGCTCATTAAATTCATTTCGGTCATAGATTTATGCACTGTAGAGCATTCAATCCCGAAGCATTTTAACAATCCTGGGATTTCGGAATGTGAAAAATTCGTATACCGTGATTCTGGGATTTTTCGGGATTTCGACTGTATTGCAATTTGGCATTTTGCAAAAACGAAACCACACAGATTCATTGTCGCCATATTTGGTCTTGCGCGGAGCATAATGCAGCTTAGTAAAAGAGTACGTAATTTAATGTTAAAATATTTTTATGGTATTCTTAAATATCTATATTAAACAAGTGTAAAAACTCTTACTCATATTGGCAGAAATTCATTTTCCACTAAACCATGCCAATGTAAAATGAAGAACAACTCTGCCATACTGTAAAAGTTTCCTTTTAAACATCACTTTGACTCTGTAAATGAATCAGTAAAAATCTAGAGATCCCTGAGCTGTAATTCCGGGATTTCGGGACATGTAAAAGTGTCCGTGATCTCGGTATGTCGGGATTGTGGATACCGAGATTGATTGCACTAGTAGCTACATATGTATATCGATACATGTGTGGTATGCCTATACATGAAAAGACTAACATATCTAACAGTATATCGGTTGAATACCGTGCAAATGCCGACACACAATATTTTTTGTCGATTGTGTCGCGCCGACAATTTACTTCCGCCGCACATTTTCTGTGGGAAACATTAGCAAAACACATATGTATATGCATACGTACATGCATATTTGTAATAAATAATTCAGCGGCGGCCAGAGCCTTTGCTCGCGAGCCGGAGCTGTTTTGAGCTGCGCTCGTCTGTCGGTGACGCCTCAAGCCAATGGGGCAAAACTTTCTTTCCACAGCAAACAAATTACATTTGGTTTTTCATTCATCGTTCAGATCAAGGCAAACTCTTATAAGGTAGTGTTTTAGATAACGGTGCAGAATATAAACCTCCCTTTGTCAATTTATCAACATCCACCCATTCGCAGATGACATACAATATTTTTTCGCATCAGAGATGAAAATTAAATTTCAAAATTTTACCTGGATGAAAACTAATGTACCCAAACACATCGAAGAATCTTTATTATTAAAAATGGGATCCAACGGAACAGTTCCAGACAAGACGAAACTATGTTTTAAGCATATATTAAAGTGCGGTTTAACTCAAATCGAAAAAAAAATTCTTTGTGATTTTCAGGGATCGGGAATGCGAGAATAAAATCGTATGTCAAAAGAACCAAACGGGGACAATAACATTAACGACAGTTTTAACGGGTACAAAATGATAAAAAAAAACTTTCTGGAACGTTTCCAATTAAAAGAAAACGATAACGAAAGTATCGATAATGTTTTCAAGGAAGATCAAGTAAAAACAATAGTCTGGGAAACATTCTGCTGGAGATCAAAAGATTTAAGAACTTAACACTAAGAACGAGAGGGGCGTGTGCGTGTTGGAATTAAAAATCGTCTTAGTGAGAACCATAATTGTTAATTCTAAGCCAGAGGAAAGCTGTATCATTTCAACTCTCAGATTGTTTATCATTAGGGTTAATTGTCCATTTCGGGACAAATTTTCTGTGCAAGAAAGT